AAAACTGTAGCACATACAACTGCGACTAGTGCGACGAGACAGGAGCAACGTGTAGTAACGCAAGAGGTTCGAACCACGAGTCACGTGCTTTCCGGTGAACAGGTAATGCCAATTGTATCTTTCTCAAGACAAGATACGCTTGAAATTAATAGGTGAAGCATGTAAAGCGTTTTTGCAAAATGCTATACGGATATTATTTGGATTTTGATCTAACTATCATTTCTCACATTTAAATATATATTATTTTATATAAGTGTGCTGTATACATATTATCATCGTTACGCATATGATTGTAGCACACATGTAAGAGATCATTTCATATATACATAAGTATTAATATATTGTGTTTGTAAAGGTTTTTAGTTGAGAAAGTCATATTATCTTAACACTTCATTACATATGCATAAGTTATGCTTATATTAAAATATTGCTCATTTATTATTAAATCGATTAAATGTAATTGTAATATCATTATAATTTAACAATGATTTAATTAGTATCATTTATTCATACTCATATGGAATTGTTTATTTTTTTATTTTTGTTTTTTGTAAATAATTTTGCCGGCTTGGTTAACACGTTGCATGGCGTAGCTGTTCTCGCGAAGGCTAAGTACATCGAGCTCAAGCAGTGGAGATTCGGGTACACCGATTGATCTTGACGATGACCAACAAGCTTTCTACAATCAATATTATCAGGTAATCCAATGAATAAACGACTGAAAATTTTCTTCTATTAAAACGGAGCGGAAGATAACGCATATTTAAAAAGCAACGGGTAACAGGTATTCATGCACATAAAAAAGCATTTCGCCTCGCCACCTAACCCAATGCGGTGCATTTGCATTAATATATTTTTGCTCATATTGTATATTTAAAAAAATATATATACATGTGTATATATATATATATATATAAGTATATATGTATATATGTATATATGTATATTTTGCATTTTGTGCAGAGATGCACACAGAAAACTGTTCTACTTTAGCGCATTTCGTCGGAGACGAAAAATGTAATATTGTAAATATGGATATATCTCACTGTATCAATTTGTGAGATTTATTCGTCTTCTAGATTGTCCACGGTTCTTATTTTTCTTATTATTTTCTATTAAGTTTTAATATCTATTAATTTTATATCTTTGTCATAATTTATCCTTCCATGTTACAAAGGATCGTCATAAATAAAAGAATTTTGAATAAATTTTGATCCCCAGGGTGATCCAGCTGTGATTGCAACTGAGAAGCACGTTTACACAGGAGAACCTGATAGTAATGTGACAACGACAACTACGGTACCTGTAGTGGCGACTGAAACAAGAAAAGTAGCTCTCGAAAGTGAAGATGGTAATTATAGCGCCACCGGAGAGATAGTTAGTACGCAAACGATATCCAGTAAAACCCGTACCGTTGAAACTATTACGGTTGGTATTATTATATATGCTGACCAAATCAATATTGTTTGTGGCTGTATAAGTTTTTTATTAAATATTATATTGCCTTACAGTATAAAACGGAGAAAGATGGTGTAGTTGAAACACGAGTGGAACAAAAGATAACAATACAGTCGGATGGGGATCCAATTGATCATGATCGAGCTTTAGCAGAAGCGATACAGGAGGCCACTGCTATGAATCCGGATATGACAGTGGAAAAGATAGAAATACAGCAGCAAACGGCGCAGTAATTAGTGGAGGATTGTCCGTCATACATACATAAAAGGGCACTCTTGGTCTATAAATAACAAACAATTCGTAATCTTAGAGATTAGAAGAAACAAATTGGTATTTACAATACATGCTATATATTGGATGCATTGTCTAATGCATCATAAAAAGAACCAGACTGAAATATGCTATAAAAAACGTCGATACGTCTTTAAATATTTTATGAAGTTAATATAAAGCAAGGAACAATAAGCTTTATACCTTTTCTCTTAAGAGGGTCAAAGAAAATTTTTGTGTGGCTTGCCCGATAATTCGAGCTTAAATTCGATTCAAAATCGAGTTTGATAGTTGAAAGGAATGAAATATTGATGAAATCTTTTTCATGAAGAGAGAATGGTACCTCGTACTATAAACTACAGTGTTCATATTAAAATAACTAAGAAAGTGTATTTATATACACAAGAACATAAAAATGAATAAATATATATATATATTATACAATGTATACATAGCTATGTATGTATGTAAACAAATGGATAAACTATTTATACATAGTTATGGCGATAATTATATATATATATATATATATATATATATAATAATTTTATATATATATATAAAAGACGGGGTGCCCTGCAACTTAAAGTTTTGATAATGAATACTTCACAACAGTAAAAAAAGACATAATTACAGTAATACAAAGAATAACCAACAATGAAATTATTTAAAATTTTGCAAAATATAAAATCAGAATTCCAAATTGAAATACTAATAGCGAAATATTTATAATCAACCAAGTCTATTAAAAGCCAAGTCTATATTCTCCCTTCGATTTATCAGAATCCTCTGTCCTTTAACGAAAGCTCATTACTTTCGCTCTTTCATCTTTGAGCGTAATATATTACAAGTTATTAACAGTAACTAAAATATTCTGATTCATAATATTCGTATAAAGAAACAAGTAAAATACGTTGTAGTGGGTTACATATATATATGAAACATAATTTTATCGATCCGTTAAAAAAAAAGGACTCCTCAAAGATGAATCGATAGAAAGTAAGATTAAGTAATAGCTAAGCAAAATAGCTCTACTACATATTGTTGTAATGCTTAAATGCAATAAGATAAGCTTCTCGGCAAAAATATATGTATAGTTTGACTATCTGTGAAATCAATATTGGCTTTCCAAACGGTTATTACATAACATTGTGTGACAGTCAGAATATATGTTACATATTAATATATATATACATACATATATATGTATATATTGCTAATTGACAGAAATATTTGAAATCACCATAGTTTCATATATCTAAAAATGTTAGAGTTATGTTGTAGGAAAGATAGAGAAATTGTGTTGCTAATAGTATTGTCCTTTTTCACGTTGCAGCTATATATAATAATTATGAGAAATACAATCTATTTGATAGAAACTATGTAGATTTCATTATATTTCAATTAATATAATGATTAATACAAATAGGTTCATATATATGTATATATATATATGTATATATGTATGTACGTATAAAACTTTATACCAAGAGCAATGATATGCATTGGTCAGCGTATATGTCTAAATTTAGCTGTAGCTTATGTAGTTATTATAGAACTACAATTTTACATAAATTTTCATTAGTTTAGTGATTTACGTTCCATTACAATTCACACATTGCGAAATTTGAATAAATAAAATAAATCTAAGAAATTTTCACTGAAAAGAATGGTGCATTTAATTTTGCAGCTTTTATATACATTTTAATTTATGCAAATTATTTTAAATGAAAAGTTTAACATATGAAATATAGTACCGTATCTTCAGGCTTGTGTTTATACCTTTGTTCTTTAATGTATTATTTTTGATTAATTATAAATAGTATTTTAGTTTCTATTTCTTTGATTTTATCTATTACAACATATTATATAAATATACTTTATTTAAATAAAATATACGTATGTGTGCTTCGAGGAAACGAGAGAATTTTTGTTTTTTATTTTTATATATTTACATTTTTATGAAATGTAGAGTATTTAATATCTCTAAGAATTTGGAAGAATGTTTTGTTCTCATAGTTTATATTCCTGCCTAATGTTTTGTTTTGTTACTGCAGATTGTACTACAGATTACAGAAAGATGTTTATCTTTCTTATACATATATAAAATATTAATTAGTATATTTCTTTTTATTTAAAACATTATCAATTCTCTAGAGTCGTCAATTCTCTATTTCTATCTAAATTTTATTTAAATGGAATAATTTTGTCATAAGGAACAAAGAATGATCACAGCCTATTTAGGTAAGAAATTTTATAATAATAATTTTATAATAATAATTAACTGGTTGTTTGCTCTTATGCGTTCCATACAATAAACGACGAGTAGTCTGTGTGCCACGAAATATATATTGGTTCATTACATCTCGTACTTTCATAATAAATATAAAATCATTTTTAGATACGCTCAAGACAATGCTATGATTTTATATAATTCCTAATGATTGCTAGTGAAACGATTACTTGTCCTTTACATATATACATATCGCAAAACGTGCAAGGTGTCTTAAGATTCTGTGAATAACATTTTAATAAGCTGCATATCATTTTTCGGTCGTTTATATCTTTTTCTTTATCGTATAAAAGATGTTTATGTTTTATATTGTATCTAACATTCCATGCTTATAGTGACTAACACACACACAACACACACACACACACACACACACACATATATATGACATATAAATATTTGTATTATTTTTGTTATTTATTCCTGTTTTATTTTAAGAATATACTTTTACCTTATGTTAAGTCTGCTTGGAGAACACATGTATGTTTATGTAATAGCAACATAATGCGAAGTCAGTAAAATAGAAAGATAATCCAGATTTCTCTGATTTCGGAAATATAGATATATTGCTTTATTAATTTTATAAACCGATTTATTACACACTTACGTGAATAAATTATAAAGTAAGCTTTACAAATGATGTACAGATCTTCAAGCAGCGTACAAATATAGTTCGTAAGTTTATACTTTAGCACTTTTGTTTAGTTTTTATTGGAAATATACTGCATATTTAACATGTAATAGTTACCCAGCTTATATAAAAATTATATTTTTAATGCATTTGAAATTTTTGTATCGTGTAACATCTCGTGAATTTATTTGACATTTACCTGTAACTATCATCATTTTATTTAATATGTACATTGTAGTAAATTTTATTTACGTTTATGAAAATAATCTTAAATAGCATATATGAAAGTAATAAAAATGTAGCCTTATCGCTAGAAAGTTCTATAAAAATAATATTGTGATTCAAATCTTTGTCTTTATTGCATATAATGCATCGTTTTATTTTATGGCGTAATTATATAAACATTTTACAGTCCTTTACAGTCATAATTCATTTAAGTCCTGTAATGATTCAGTCTAAAGAAGCATGAGTAAATACAGTAATAATTGTTTAAGATTGATAAAAAGAATTAAATAAGCGGTAATGCAATTGCTTTATTATTGACATGAGAGCGTGTTGAACGAGTCTCCTTGTTTTTAGTTACATTGCTCCAAAATGGTCTCGGTGTTACATGATTATCCTTGATACTTCTGATGCTAGATGCTAAGATTACATGCAAAAAATATCTTATAATGCAGCAACGGAGATATAATTATCTTTCCTGTTCTTTTTTTTTTTTTTTTTACCTGACTTCCAAGGTGGAAACACCTGCAGCTGACTTCCTACCGAGAGAGATCCAGGAGTAATTGTTACAGACAAATGTGGTCCAGGATGCTGAAAAATCGCTCTTGAAATAGATCTTTTAAAGGCCGGTGGCAAGTTCAGAGAACCTACAATAAATTTTCTGTTTGTAACTGCCGTTTCCATCTAAACGGAAAAATCATTATTGGCATACTTGTTATATCGTCTCTTAATGGGATTTTAGTCGCATTTTTTGTACGTCGATTGTGTTTTTCCATTTTAAATTTTTTCATGAAATTTCGACAAATGTCAGTTACAATTTTTCCATCGAGATTAGCTGTATAGTAAAATAAATGATAATTGAGTAATAAACATGAGTAATGAGTGGCGAGAAATGATAAAACTTTACCTAGCGAAATGCTGTTAGCAATCAGATTTTCCTTGTATCTGTAGGACCATGTAACAGGATTACCTTGTAAAGACAGATCTTTTAAAGAAGTCAATGTATTTATTGTTGCAGTTAAATCGTCGATGTTATCGATCAGATTATTTTTCGCATTCAACGTATGTAATTCTTGAAATTCTATTAGATTACTCAAGGATGTCATTTTGTTATCAGAAATATTAAGAACTTTTAGACACATCTAAGAGAAGAAACATAATTTCTAATAAACATAAATCATAATGATTAATCTGTACAATGAAAGAGAGTCTTTAAGATTCAGATAATATTTACAGATAAAGTAAAAGCGCTGCGTGGCTCGAAGCATAACGATTCGCCAAGTGGAATCCTTTGATTTTCGATATGCAATTCTTGTAATTTTTTGGTATTTTCCAATCCTTCAACTACAATAATATTATTGTGCCCTAGATAAAGCTTTTGGAGATTCTGTAGAGATTCCAAATTCTCTATTTTCGTTATAACATTATGTTGCAGATACAGATGTGTCAAATTACACGCAAAATGAAGATTTTTTATTTTCGATATATTATTATTCTGAAGATATAAGATTTTTAAGCTTTTGTAAGTAGCGATGTTGCCCTGTATGAAGTATGAAATTTTATATACATTGAAAATAAGTTATGATTTACTAAAATTAATGTAGCTTACAATGCTGCTGATAAACATGTCATTCATATGTAAATGAGTCAATTTCCACAATTCATCTTTTTTCATTGTTTTACTAAGTGATTTACTGGTTAATATTTGAGAACACTTTCTTTCGACAATGTCTGTTGTCAATTTCACCATGATTGCAAGATAATGAATTATGAGTGCAGCAACAATAAGCGATCCACAAAGATGGGTTACGGCGGAGTTTCATCGATCAAACGCAGGACGTAACGATGACGCGAAATACGATGTCAGGTAAATTAAAGTTTCGCTGCTAGAATTTTATGTGCAAAGATAGTAAAAAAGAAGTTTATTTCTTATATATCATATTATATATATGTTACAATTAATTCTCTCAATTTAACAAATAGGTTAATTTTCCGGCTGATTTAATTAAAGAAAAGATTTTTCTTCGCTCTTCGATGGTATAGATTTTTGCACCATGGCGAGACTCTAAACATAAAAAAAATAATGTTAGAATATGTTTTGTATAAATAAAAATTTATTACAACTTACATGCGTAATCGTGAGTACTCCTTTAGAAGACAAATAATTTAAATCCCTTATGAGCTCTTCGATTTGACATTTTTGATTAATAGTCTAAGAGAAAAATTAATATTATTATCTCTCTCTCTTTCTCTCTTATATAAATTTAAAAGAATTGACTCAATTACCTCCAAGATAAACTTGTTTTCGGATTCATTTAAAAATGGCAGAAGTGCGGCAGCCAAGTGTGTCTGTTTACTTTGGAAACAATTTTTTACAATCGCGGCAAAGTCTAATTCGTGTGTCACAGGGCATGAGTATAACAGACAGATCACCTCTATACAATTATCAATTTGTTCCAGATTTGGATTTGGGTCCATCTCGTTGAACGGCTCAGAGATAATTAATTGCCACCCCATTTTATAACCATTACAATTCACAATGACACTTTTATTTCGTAATTGCAATAAAACTTTCTTTAAGTCGCTCACCTGAAAGTACACATTGAATATAATTTTCGATTTATTGGGCATTAGAGAATACCTGACGCATCATAATCTTGATACCATTTGCAATTTCGTCATCTGACTCAAAGTGTCATCCCAAAGTAGGATATCGTTTATTTCAAACTCAATGCAAATCTGCGTTATAACGGAGAGAGCATAGGGCAAGTGACGCTGGCTTTTCCACAAGATCTGAACAAGTTCACGTTTACAACATGTTTCAAATGTATCAACGCTGTAACATAATCCTAATGATTCCAATTTCCCGACGTACTGTAACGATTTCATATACTTTCTAAAATGTAAAAATAATATTAATGTTTTAGATTCTGCCATAGTTTATTTTATCTGTGTGCGTTTTTGTACCTAAAAGTAGATATATCTTGCTTGGTCAATTCCTCTAATGTAGGAATATCAATAACAGTTTCCAATATTCGAAATACTCGATACCGTACGTTACAACTGTATTCGGTCTCGCCGTGACGATCGCCAAAGCCTATGTTTATAAGAAATTGTGCAAACAAATCCGTATCTCCATATTCTATCATGTAACATACCCTACAAGTATATTTCAAAATCAATTATTAATCTACCTATTAAAGTCCGACAAAAATATACTACAATATAAGATTTAAAATACGATGTGGGCTATATTAATATTACCTAAGTAAATTATCCTCGCAATCTGTATTCTGATCAAATTCTTTCGGCGCCAGGAATGTCTCTGTAAAACTTTGAGACAATTCGGTACACCTGGCATTGGATTGCAGCCACTCTTCCAATAAACTCATACGCAATTGTATTGTATTCAAGGAGAACAGTTTACCCAATTCGTTAACGGCGGCGTTAATATCAGGTCTGTAGTTGGTTGCGGTTCGATATCGTAACGGTATACTTTTGTCATTATACAGCTCGTGCACCAGCTTGCACGGATGTTGGATTAGATCAAGATACTTGTCCCTCCCCAATCCGTATGCACGTAGAATATGCTCGGACGTAAATTTCAAATATTTGGATTTAATTTTCTGAAAGCATAGACGCTGCATAGAAGTCAACTTTTTTCTTCAACATAAAGATACAAGTACTACACAGAGATTACCGTACTTCTAACATTCCTTCTTGAAATTTGGTAGAATTTTTTACCGCCAGCTGAGTGTACTCGTAACATTCTTTCGCGGCAGCGACGAGATCGGCACCCGGAGGCGTATGATTTACGACATAATACAATGCCGCAGTAACGTAATAGAATTCATCTGAATTCGTAATCCGTTGTGTACATTTCTTGATATCTTTGAGTAACGTGGTGTTTCTTGAATAAAGCGACCATGTAGTATTTTTCGACGTATCAGAATCATTTTCCCATACTTTTGTCACTTCACCCTTTATAGCTAATGAGCATATGAGAGATGCTTGCAAGTTAAGTACGGGTGCGATGTCGAGCCACTTGTCGTACGTTTTTAAATTTAACTCAGGAGCTAGTAACGAGAATAATAAATGTAAAATTAAGTTAAATAATCATTCCAAGTGTTAATTGAAAATTTATTTCTAAAATATATTTACTAATGATTTTCCATATATCGATTTTTGGCAAGAATGGAAGTCTCCATTGGGCTATCGGCGGCAACGTACTGTGTCCAGGATTAAGCTGTATCCACTCATCATGTTCCATTGGTGTAGCAGGCCTAACAGATATATGATTATTAAATTTAAATTTAAATTAATTTAAACTTAATATATGCAAAATTATAACTCACCCACACCGAGTGTAATTTTGCAAAAAACAGAGATAATTCCTCTTCCCCATATCTTTATCTCCTATGAGATCCATTAGTATAATGAACACTTCATAGTGGTAAAATGCGATCTATAAATTTAAATATAAAATTGTTATTATAAAAAGCCTATATCTGTTAAATATCTTTATGACTTACGTGTTCCCATAATGTAGAAATACATCGCTTCAACATAGATTTATCTTCCATTTGCGTAACAACTGCATTACATTTTTTTCTTAACTCATCGATTTCTTCTTTACAAATAACTAACTCTATAAAACGTCGATTATTAAATTCGAGATCATGCAAAAATGTGTGTTATAAAAATATGCATGCAAATATTAAACTGTCACAAATACATATTATTGCTTTATATCATTTACCTTTATTTACGCTTGAATTCGAAATAGTTATCGTTGGATTCCATGTTTTGAGTAATACTTGCAAATAAAGCAAAAGACAGTCATTGAAATTAAATCCAAAGCTACAGCAATAATCCTTTAATAAGAGAATCACGTTCTCTTTATTACTATTTATAATCTGCTGTAAAATTTGTCTTTTGCTCGAAGGATTATTTGTTAAAACCTCTGTAAATATTCGTGTATTAAAAAAAAATATATAAAAATATACATTAATACACGTATAACAAGATTTGCGTTTCCTATCTTAAAATTGCCGTGTTACCTGCGTTGAAGCCTCATTTTCCCAATGTTTAAAAATTCATATCTTCCAGAAACATCAAGATATAGACTTTTTTCTGAGCTCATCTTAAAGATGAATTATGTGACTATTTAAAAAAAAATCGTGATTTTATTTAAAAATAGCCGATTCAATATGGCCGATTAAAACGTCATTTTATTGAAAATTGTTAAAATTTGTTTAATTAAAATGTAATTTGGTATAAATGTTACTGGAAGATGTATGGAGTTTAATACGCACCGCG